TCATGGGGTTCTTACATCCAGGAGCCTCGAAAATTTTTCTTTCCCATCTCCTGGTTGTTTTATCCATCCCTATGCAAAAGACTTTTAGTTCCCAGAGAGAGGTCAAGCCAAGGGACCCTGGCCCTTTTGTCAATCTTTAACTTTATTAACTGGCCTAACTGTTGCCCCAAGCAATTGTTGTTCAGGTTTCTCATTGTGATCTATGCCTTCTGGACTTTTTAAATTTCTCCAAACTGGGGTAAATTGAGCATACTTGTTTAGGGCCCTTTAATGTTGGGGGGGCCAGTAGGAGGTCCCTTTGGCTTCCCCCAACCTTAGGCAGTGCTGTATTAAAACCTTTGTTTTAACTCCATTAATGTCCATTTTTTAAATAACCATCTAAAGATTCTCACCCTGCTGGGATGAGTCCCACGACTCTCTCCTTTCTGATTCCTCGTTGTTTTCTCCCCTTTCAATATTTGTTTTATTTACCTGATTTCCTAAAAGCCCTTTTGAAAATTTCCACCTTCTTGAGAAGAGTCCCTTGACCCTCCCCTCAGCTTCTTTCCATTCACTTGTTAACTGAGTTATTGCTTTCATTAGCATATGTAAGACCATGAGAGGAAGCTGAGACCCCAAATTTGATTAAGTTCTTAAAGCTAGTTGTTATTTCTTTGTATTTATTTTTAATTTGGTCTCTTCACAAGTACCTGTAAAACAGCTGTTTATGATGCATGCTCTCTAAAAATGTTTCCAACTTAGAATATTTTCCAATTTAAGAGGTCCATTGCCTGGCCACTGATGAGTAGGATCTTAATAGCAACTCATACCAATAAGCCTTTTATGAACATGAGAGATGAGAGGAATCCCCAAAAGACAGTGCAAAAGAAGCAGCCCTCACAAGATCAAGAACATCCACTCCCAAAAACAGTCTAAGAAAGCAAAGGCCTTCATTGCACAGGCAGTAAGGATGGTGTCGTGAAAACAATGTCTCTGGTCTCCCACAGGAATGTGGGATGCCTCTAGTTAGAAACCCGCTAATCTGTGACACCGGACAGGTGCTACTGGAATGGGATTTTTCTAGCACTAACAAGCAACGAAGTTTGAGATGACAAAGGCCTCTTAAGGACTGGGACTCCTATGAAAAAATCCCCTGAGAGCTGGTACAGCCATGTGACTAACTGCCCCGGAGCAACTCAAAGGAGGTTTTGGAAGCACTTAACTGTTTTTCAAAATTGATTTTTTTAGTTACATTAAGAGATGCAATTACCAACTGCCCTAAACAGGCCCAAACACCATCACAAGAGTTATACATGTGCAGATGGCCGAGAGGTGCCCAAGGGTTCATTTTAATGTTAAGATCTCTGCCCCAGGAGGAGCTGAGGCCTCATTATCGTAACATGAGATGTATGTGGAAGCTTATTTTCCAACTGCATCTGCGTGAGCCTATACCCACCTCTACGTGTGATGACGAAACTTCCCTTTTGAATATTCATTCCCATCCAAAGTAAAATGTTCCTGCTTTCCTTGCTTGAAGAGCCACAGCTTTGGAAATATTTCCCCCTGGGCTCCTTATTTGCTTCAAATAAATCTTACTTTGTGTGACAACTACTTCTGGTGAAGACTTTGATTTCAACTCACCAAGAAGTGGACCCACTTTGGTTTCATAATAGCCAGACAAAGAGAGTGCATCTTGGAACCCCATTCTATTTGACTGACCACCAGATGCACGCTGGTATGTGCATCCTCCAAATGGCGGAGACCAGTGAAGTCACAAAGCCAAGCTCTCAGACATAGAACAAGACACAAGAAAAAATCTTATCTTACATACACATGACAGCTTGAAGCCTTGGATCTCTTGGAGCCAAACTAATACCTATGAGAGATGTGCCAAGGGGTTGGGGATTGTGTGTAGTTTTACAGAGTACCTTGTTGCACAGAAATTTCCTTAAGGTTGGTGGGTGACCCATGTCATCTACCCCATTTGATGACCAACTTATCCTATCACAGGAGTCTTTTTGAGGTGACGAGTGTCCTAATGGCTCTTAAAGGCTTGACCCATGCCCACCTATTTTGTGGCTTTTTGACTTCCAAGGTGTCCCTTAGCAATAGCTTTTACCTCATGTGCATATTAACCAGATTGCTAGGCCAGCCCGAACAACAGGTTTATCAGGCCTATGCCTGTGGTTTTTCCTTTTTATGACAAATGACACAAATGACAGAGACAGGGAAAAACAGTGACCATCTCTAGGAGGAGAAGGATCAATAAAAACCAAAGAGTTCTCAAACCAAATTTCCCAGAATCACCGAGTCCAAGAAACTAGCTTCACAAGTATTTTCTCCTGCTAATCTAAATTTAGAAAAGGAAAAACCTCATCACTCTCGCTTCCAATGGACCCTGCAGGCAGAGATCCAGGAGATTAACATGGTAAGCACTCTTACCTCCTGCTGGCTCTTGTTGGAGGTCCAAGATATCTTGGCTGCAGTAGTCCTGGAGTGAGCAATGTCCTGCCAGTTTTCTCTCATCTTTGTCACCAACCCTAGGGAAGGAAGACATATTCCTCTTCCCTTCTAGGTTCTTCTGGCTGGTCTAAGAATTAAGTTGACATGAAACATAATAACAGGAGAAAATTTAACAAATTTAATAACATGTATACATGAGAGAAACCCTAGAAAACGGAGTTACTCATCAAAATAAGCAAAGCCACTACCTTAAATACCATCTTCAGCTAATGACAAAGGAGGATGTTGGGGTAGTGGTGTGGGACTTCAAAGGGGAGGGAAGCAATTCACATGGAGATGAAAAAGCAAATGTTTGGTAAACAAATGTTTGTCATACCTTGCAAAGACATTGTGACATGGGGAAGACTTTGATCAAATGGGCCTTGCTAAGTTCTTGTCTACTACACCTAGTTCATATTATGCTATAGTTATCTATGGTGATAGCTCCTTCCTGAAACAGGCCTTCTGTCTTAAATTCTTTTAGGCAATTAGGAGGAAGGTCAAAGTTTCTTCCTGAGTCTTTTGTTCTTAAAAATAATCAAGCCAAAGAGACCCATATTGATGTGGCAAATTCTGATCCCTCATGATATTTAGAATTTTTTCCAAGGGTTGCCTTCCCCCTACATCCCTCAGAAATATCTCTCTTTACTCTGGGGTTAGTTCTCTTTCTTCTTATTGATTCTTCACTTACCTGTGTTGATTTTCCTCATATCTCTGGTGAATTTTGTTGGCTCATTTTATATTTGTGAGTGAAGGAATATGTTGATTGTATAGTTGTACGCTGTGTGACAGGTATATCCTGGAGGGTGTATAGGGGTGGAAGAGGACAGGCAGGGATGGCTGGGGAGCCTACAACATTTCCAAAGAACCACTGTGTTTCTCTCCCACATGGAACTTCTTTCCTTTCTTTTTATCCCCCTTCAGTTATCTGATGTGGAAATGTGAGTAACAGCAAGCTCTCCTCTGCTTCTCTGTTAAGATTCAAAACTCACATAGGATCTCTACCTAGGCAGATGGCACATTTTCTTTTGAGAGCAGTTTAAAAAGAAATTTTTTTTAAAGATTGGCACCTGAGCTAACATCTGTTGCCAATCTTTTTTTTTTTCTTCTTCTTCTCCCCAAAGCCCCCCAGTACATAGTTGTATATTCTAGGTGTAGGTCCTTCTGGGTGTGCTGTGTGGGATGCTACCTCAGCATGGCTTGATGAACGGTGCCATGTCTGTGTCTGCGCCCAGGATCCGAACCAGCAAAACCCTGGGCCACCGAAGTAGAGTGCACAAAATCAACCACTCGGCCACAGGGCTGGCCCCTATTTTTAATTTTTATTTTCTACTAAATTCATTTAAAGCAATGAACTTTCAAATGTTAGAATCTGAACTGTTTTTAAGGGAGATTTTGGGAAATTCAAGCAAAGGAAAACAAAATGAGCAAAAACACAGGTGTGGAAAAGTACAAGAGTATTTCAAGAATTCAAAGTCAGATATGTTTGCCTGGAGGAGAGAGACTGTAGTGGGAATATTGAGAAACTTGCAGAAATAATTTAGAGTGAGTGTGTGAGGGCAATGAATAACAGCAAAAGTGGGAAGCCACAGAAGAGTTAAGAATAAGGTCACGTTATTAATGGCTTAATATTAATAAACACTTAAGCCAAAAGTATTTCTTATGAAAACATCATTCATTAAATTGTTCTGTGAACTAACTTGGTATATAATGAGCCCTCTGTGGACTAAAGGAGATGATGTCTGGGAAAGTGGTTGCCAGTACTAAGAGTGCTACAATGAGATGGTGTCGAGTTTTCTCTAGATGAGTTGGCACTGCGCGTGCACATGCTGATGCTCCCAGACCACCTTCCTCCTTCACTGCAGTCTTGATTGTGTGGTTGAAGGGGCATCAGATGGAAATTTGGGACACCTGGATTTAGGCTAATAAGCATCTGGGTTACTTGGAGCAACACACTTCAACTTCAGATTCTTGTGTAAAACAAGGAGTAAGACTGGATTATCTCTAAGGTGACTTCCATTTCTAAAAGTTCAAAGGTTCTGTGATTCCGTAATTGTTCCTATACACCTTGATTTAGCACCAAGTGTTTCCTTAGGCAGTGTTAAGTACCCATTTAACAATTGCAGGTTGAAAATCATTGAAAATGCTACCTCAATATAATATCAGATGCCATTTATTATCTAAAGCACTTCAGATTACATTTCTTCTGACGATTTTATTTCTTTTCTATTTTTGTTTCTGCTTGAAGTTGTGTATTATTTTGATTTTACAAATTCAGTAGGGTGAATATTACAGTATCAAGGAAGCTAAAATTATATATGTGTGTGTGTTTATATATATATATATATATATATATATATACAAATTTCTTTGACAGTTGGAAAGTATAGTAATTATGAGAAAAATATTTAGGTTTAAAAATTTTTTATATCTCTAATAACTATTGAAAGAATAAAATTATCTTAGTAAATATCCTTGCATTACAAGCAGTCTAAAATGAAAACTTCTCTTTTTATAAGGTGGCTTTTTCACCAGAAGAATACATTTCACCATCTTTCAGGCCAGAATATAAAGAATTCAAACCAAAGTATCAGGTGAGTCCTGAGTTATCCTATATCAATTATATTTAAATACTAGGTTTCTCTAATACTTTATGTAATTCAATGGTTCCAAAACCAGACTGCTCATTAGAAATACCTGGCTGTCTTTAAAAAAAAAAATGTATTCCCAGGTTTCACCTCTGACATAATGAATCTCAATCTGGAAATGGAGTCTAGGAATTGGTATTTCTCAAAAAACCTCATGGGATTCTTATGCTGTCACCTGGGTGTCAACTAGCATTTGAAAACCCATTATAATAAATAGTATCCATTAAAATGATGTTTGAACTACTAAGTTGAAATAAACTAAAATGCATACTAGGCTGTTTATTCCACATTTTGCTTTTTTCAATTGGATGATGTAGAAGTTGTATGAATAAAGAGTTTGAGTAAAAGACTTCATTTTGAAGGCTACTTCAGCCTGATCCCAGAGCTGCAAAACTGCCTATGGATATTACACTGAAATTTCAGTGTAATCCAGAATTTTTTGTACTGTTCTCTCTCAACCATTTGTGAGGCATAATAGTATTCATCAAAAAGTAAGATTCTACTATGACACAGCAAATACTGGGTAGAACTCAACATTTTTGAAATTCTCAGACTTAAGTCTTTAGGGAATACTTATGATACTTTCAATGGGATTTCTCCTACTTGTATTTTTAAAAATTTCCTACATTGCTACTAAAATCATAAATATTTATTTGGCTAGAACTTAGATCCTGATGGGAGCCATTGTGTAAGCAAATGCAGCTAACACTGGAAATTAAGTTCTTAAGAAAAAACTATTTATGAGTGCCTTTTAAATATTTAAAAATATTCCAGGTATCAAAAAGCTCTTGGACATAAAATAGTATCAGGATTAGGTATTTGAAAATTTTGCATTACAATTCTTACTATTATTCCAACTTCAAATATTTTTAAATAGTTAGTTGTTTTTCTCTTTGTAGAAGGCAGGAGGATGAATATATAGACTGATAGATTGCTCAGAGAAACTTAACTAGAACATTTATTATAAATTTGACATAAATGCTACAGAATTTCTTACCTTTTTTATTTTTAATATTACAGTTCCAGAAATTCAACATCAAGGACAGTTTTGATCCTTTTCTAAGGAATATAAACGACAAAATGTCAGTCAGAAAAAAGAAAGACGGAGACACGTACAAATGTGGAAGCATTTTAAGTGCAGAGGTTATAGAGCATGAAGACCAAGATCCTCCTTACCCAACACAGTCAAAGACTGCCAGACCCACTAATAAAACCTGGCCGCAAGATCTCAATATCACCGTAAAGCCTTTAGACACTAAGAAAAAGTTAGCCCATGATCCTGGTATCAGCACAGTCAAGACTTTGGATGCTAAGAATAAGTTAAAGAAAAGACTGCAAAATCTATCTTTACCAAACTTTGAAGGAGAATCGTCAGTGACTGGAAATGGAAATACACATCTCTTCTCAAAATCATTAAGTTTTCCTTCCCACATAGAAAATTTGAAACAATCAATGGTGCTCAAGTCAATTTTAAGTAAAAATCTGCAAGATCTTTCAGATAAATTATTTTCTAAGACAGAAGTTCCTATGGACACTGAAGCAAGAAAGAAAAATCATGGTTCTTCACTTCTAAGTGTTCATGCTGAACCACCAAGTAGTTTGGAAGACAAAGTATTTGAAAAAATTCAAGATTTAAATAGCTGGCTTTCAGAAGGAACCATTTTAAACTCAAAGACTCTTTTAAGTCAAATAATTAAAGATGTTCCTGCAGATTCACTGTCAGAAGGTGCACCAGGGAGTTCTTCAGAGGTAGAAAAGAGATTTGTCTCTGAGACACACTTAGAGACTGGTGAGACAGATTTTACAATTAAAAAGAAGCGTAGTTTCAAAAAGAAACATTTAAAAAGTGAAGGATCCAGCTCAAAACCGAGTCTAAATTCCATTGTGCATGATTATCTTATAACGCAAATATTCACTGCCCCCGTCCTCTCAGATTTGGAGATTGGAGTGCAAGAATCGAGTGGAACACAGATGAACTTGTGGACTCAGTTGCCCACAGCCTGGGAGAGTGTCTCTTCAAATAGTCTAGTTCACTATGAAGACAATGATGATGAAATAGAATTGCCACAGGCTAAATCTGTTATAAGCCAGATAATACAGTCATTTCCTATAGATACTCTGTTAGAATCTGGGATAATCAAAGTGATCGAATTAGGTGAAGAAAACCAGAAGACTTCTTTGCTGGATACAGAGACAGTCTTTGCTGAAGAAAAGCCAAAAGATTCCACAGAAGATTACTCAGAAATCAAAGGCAAATCAGAATCTCTTTCAGGGCAAAATATACCCACCATTCCCAAAGAAATTACTTCTTTTTTTAATAAAAGAGTTGAATTGATAGATGAAGGCCAAAATATATCCCAACAAGATTCAAAATATCAGTCAACACCAGATAAAAAAACAGATTTGCCAAGTAATGGTCAGAGGCTTAATAGAGAAGAAAATTATCTAAGTTCTACTTCAGAAAATTTAAGTAACTCATTAATGGGCAAACTTAATGAGTCAGATGTAATAATGTTAAAATCCTTTGTAAAAAACATGTTTAATGTTTTTTTCAAATATAGTCAGTCTGAAAGAAGACAACCAGAAAAAGAATTAGAAAGACTAATTCAACATCCTTTTCCAAATAAAACAAACAACCTTGAAGAAATCAGAAAGAATTTTGATGAAGCAGACAAATTAGACAGAAAACCTATTTTGAGTCCAAAGCTGCGTGTATTTTTAGAAGAACTCTCAGAGTCAGAAATAAAAAATTTAAAATCTGAATTAAGTAAACATATCCAGCATTACCTTGTAGAAAGACTTTCAGAATCAGGACATATCACCAAAGAGGACTTACCAACAATCTATCAAAATCTGTATTTGATGAATGAGAAAGCACAACCAAAAGGGCAAAATATCTTTCTGGAGAAATATTCAGAAACTGTAAAAGAAATCCTGTCTTTTGTAAATAATTTTAATCATCATTTCATAGATAAACATTTGGAAATAAAGCTAAGATCTTTTTTAAATGAAATTCTCCAAAACTATTTCCTAAAAAACCTTTCACAAAACAGTTTATTTAAAGACACAGAGTCTGAGCCTGTACACTCAAACATATCTTCTCGAAGAAATAAAAGTGCCTCAATATCTTTTCCTGAGTCAGGACAAGATATTTCCAGGGGGAGTTTTGGTAGAAGACTTGAAATGAACATGAAATATCCTTTAAATCAGTCTCTACAAAACTATCTTATAGCTTTATCAGAAAATGAAACATTAAATCTAAAAGCTGATTTAAGCAAACACCTCCAGAGGCTTTTTATAGACAAACTTTCAAAAGCAGGACTAATCACAAAAAGGCAATTAGAGGGGATCAACCAGGATATAAATTTGATTAATTCTAGTTCCACACCATTAAAATGTATAAAGCCAGGTTTATCTTTTAGAGGTGAAAATCAATTTATGGAGGAGCATTCAGAAAAGCAAAAGAAACATTCAAAAATTGTTCAAAAAACCACTTTACAAAAGGTTCCTGAGGATAAACTTGTAGAAACAAAACTGACAAGAAAGGAAGGGAAGGAATATTTTTCCTTACAGAATATTAAAGAAAATCCATCAATAATTAGGGAACAGAAAAGATATTATCCTAAAGAAGGAACCAAAACACTGAGTTTAATTAAAGCACAACCTTCTTCCAATAAAAATACCCAGGAGATTCCATTAAATAAGTCATCAGCAAGACTTTCAGGTTTAGTGCTTAAGAAACAAAGGAAAGAATACGGTTTCATGCAGCTTCCTCGAGGAGAAAATTTTGATTTTAAAACAGAGATTCAAGACCCACAGAGTTGGAGCAGTAAATCAAAAATACCTCAATCAAATGCTTGCTCTGAAAGGACACTAAAAACGAAGTCCCTTGAAAAAAAGGGTCACAACAACATCCATAAATTGTTGGTACAGGAAAAACCTGAAGCAGTGCTGTCACCATTTCCAGGAATTCCTAATTGCAAAATGCCAAATGACGACAAAGAATATGTGAACAAAGTCACTATTCCGTCCACGCAGAACACTTCAACGCATTTCACTTCCAATGCTGGGGAGAAACTGAAATTAGGAGACCAGTATTGTCAGAGATTGAAAGGAAATAATAACAATAACAAAAAACAACATTTAGTAACATTTGCACATTACAAAAAAGAAATACAAACTCTTTATATAAAACCAAATGAAATTTGCGATGAAAAATGTGTCAAGATCCCTGAATCACAATCATTTAAATATAAAGTTGTGGAAGCTGAGAAAAACTCAAAACCAGCCCTCTTCCCGCAAGTATTAGAGAGAGAAGTTCTAAAGCCCAAGGTCCGAAAAGAAAGAGACCATGTCAGCAAACCAGAGAAGTCATTTAGCAAGATAGTTAGGACCCTGCCAGCCACACTGCCCGCCCCAAGTGTTCTAAGGAAGTCTGTGCCGAGGACGTTGCTGCACTGGAAGGCAAGAAGAACCGTACATGTAATGATGTTTTTCTAAGTCTTCTACTGCATTTGGCAAATTCTGTCAATAACCTGCTTTAGCGTGTATATGTCTGCATGCAGGTGTGTGTGTAACCTTCACTGCCACAAGACATACAGACCTCCAAATTTTAAAAATTCTTCTGACATTCAAATATCACCTCACCTGCTTTAAAATTCAATCACAAAGTCGGGGGCTTGTTAACATACTTAGGGCCTTGGTATAAATGATAAAGCGCACCCCCTCTGGAGCATGCCTTAGAGAAAGGCAGCCTTTCCTCTGGGCACAGCCTGGAGCCAGAGCGCACAGCCCTGTCTATGCGAGTCTCTGGATTTCCGCCCTGGCCCAGCCCTCTGCCAGGGGCTGTGCTGCAGCCGTAGCAGTGGCTTTCTACTGTGGAAACATCCCTGCGAGTTCCTGTTCATGCAGATGTAAACAGACAGTCTTCTTTCAAATTGCTGAATTATTTTTGTTTCAGAACACAAACATGAATCTCCTATTGTGTGCTCCTATTGTTAGCAGTTATTCTGCTAAGCATTAGGGATATGCAAAATTTATAGTCTATTGGATCATGAATTGCAAAATTTTAATTTGACTTCTACTCCTCTTCTTTCACCACCACCCCTCTACTGTATCACGTGCTGAGAAACTTGGGAATTCAAATCTATTTTTGCTATTAACATGAAAACAATTAGGAAGGCAAATCTGCTCCTAGACTTTATCCGAACTGTTCTAGAGCAAAGTTAACCGCTAGGAACGGAAGGGACTGATTTTAATTTCCTGGACACTGCTCTTCTCAGTGTATATAAACAGGCGTGACCCACAATTGGGAAAACTCATAAATTCTAAAGTGATTTTATGTTGATGATTTGATGTGCATAATTCTACTTTTGAATGAGAAAATAGATCTAATTTCAGAATAGCTGCTTTCAATTTGTTTCCCACAGTCAAATAAATTATTAGCTTTAGTAAAGAGTAAAAGCAAATAAGTGGCAGGGTAAATGTTCTTAATGTAGCTTATACTCTCAACTTTGCATTTCTCTTTTCTGTCTAAATTCAGTAATTTAGTATTGAGTGTGTGTGTGCGTGCACACGTGTGTGTACATATACTAGGAAAAGGAACTAGATGTATTCATAGTTTTTGGAAAGCAAAGACTTTCTGAATTTCCTTTAGACAAATGGAATCTTTAATATCACTTTTTCAAACAAAACAAGAAATTGTATTCATGTTATATGGTATAAGATCATATAGGATCTCAGAACCCTTATCCTAAGAGTGGGCAAGGGGGATAGAGTAACCTTATTTCCCTCTGGTAAACCAACAGTACCTACACTTTTCTCTTTAGTGAAGTTGACAACAGAGAATTGAGTGGTAAGGGTGTTTTTCAGATCAGCAGAAAGACTTGCTCATTTGATCCTCAAAAATCCAAGAATCTCCCAAAGGAATCAAAACAGGAGATAGAAAAATTGATTTGTAGGAGCATCCAGAAAAATGATCAGCGGTGTAGGTCTCCACGCACTTCCACTGGCACTCCCAGTATTCAGTTATATCAACCTTGAAGCAAAAATTGTATATCACTCACCAGTGTAGCAGAAATTCCCTTAATAACATGGCTTACTAATTGCTCCATGTACGTAAGAGGGAGGAGCAAGAACGTTTCCTTTCCCTCTGCAAACCCAGGCAAAAATGTAAAGTAGATAGAAATTGTCTTTAGACTCTTTATACCTCCTTTTTCATAAATCTCTCTCTTGCTGCCTAATTCTTCTCAATCCTTCCTAGCCTCCCTCGACCTTTCAATTCTCTTAATCCACTCCCACTTGCTCTCCAAATCAAAGCAGCCCATTCCCTTGGAGTGGCCGTCTCTGCAGAGGGTTAAGGGACAAGCTGCTCAAACAGCAGAGGAAACTGCACTAACTTGAGAATGACTAATAGCTCCATACCCTCTTGGGAGTACTTGTAGATTATTATATTTTTATTATAAAATATAGCATATTATAGAAATTTGAGAAAAAGAAAACAAAGCCCATAATTCCAACACCCTAACCCAACCACCATTTCTTTTTTATTTTGGTGTATATCCTTCCAGTTATTTTCCTGAACGTTTTACTTGTTTACTCTCCGAATGTACACAAAAATCTTTAATATAATCTTTATAACCATATTCTTAGATGCTGGTCTGTGTGTGTGTACGTATTAAAGAAGATAGTAATTTTTTAAAGAGTGAAAGTTTGGTTAATATAAAAAGTAAAATATAAGAGTTCATAATTTAAATTTGGGCTTGGGAAAGAGAGATTTTGGAGGAGAAGTCTAGAATAGCCTGGCTGGCTTTGCCTGGGAGTCTGACTCCTGAGGACAGCTCCCCTAAATTTTTCTGGTTCCCAGCTTCGTATCTTTTGAAATAACAGATCCTTTGAAACTAACATTTTTTAAAGCAGTCTCTATGGTAGTGCCTAATGGGAGGCCTTGGATGTAGGGTCTGGATTTGGGGACTGCCCTTAAAACATTCGACGCTCTTATTCTTTAACTGTTGATATTATAGACTTTGGTCTTTGTAAATTTAAAATGTACTTTTAAGAAACCTAACTCACCAACTTGATCTTTTATTTTAATATTTAGGATTGTTTGGATAGATTTGAGGATTCACCTGTGACCTCTTTCAAGCATCTTGTAAAAGGCAAATCAAGAGTCAGGCTTATAGGGAAGAACCCTGGTGACATCCAGGTACCAGAGCCGGTAAAATACTCAGCGAGACCGTACACAGCGCCTGATGGTCACCAGCGTCGAGAGGGCAACGCTGGGAAGTTCACGAGTCCTCGGATGGTTTCAGCAGGCTTACTTCATGTAAATGATACAATCTCAGATTATGAAATCCATAAGATGCGGCAAAAGAAAAAATTAAAAGATAATATTGAAAAACATTCGCTCATTTGTGATATTATCCAAATGTTAACAGTTCAGAATGATACGTGAGGCCAACAGTCAGAATATCATCTCTCCGGTTAGCAAAATGGTGTGATCTGTCCTTTTGTGTGACAGAAGTCAGCAACTAAATTTCATCTTGTTACAACCATTTCGTTTTAATTAAAATGAAAAAGAAATGCTTTTGATGTAAATGTGTTTTTGTTTATGAACCTTAGGGAATAAACCCAGAAATACACATCCAGCTGATATTCGTGAGTAAAGTTTGACCTCCCAGCTTCCCCACTTCTCACATCTACAGCATCCCTACGGTTCCCAGTCTGACTTCCCACCCAGCTCTCAAGCCCCTCCGCGCGGTGCTCAGGGTAGGGCCTCTCTTGGGTGCTGGCGCTTAGCCTTTTGTAATGAACATGCTTTTACTCTGCAGCTCTAGTTACACGCCAAGACTCAACAGTACGCAATTCTCTGCGCCAATAGAACTTGTATTAATTTTAAAATCATCTGATGTTACAACTCTTTAACACTACAAATAAAGAACGTATTTAATACTAATTCCTGAGGCATCTCCTACACTGGAGTGACTTCCTAACTTACTCAAAAAACTATGAAAGGGCCTCTTTAATAACATAAAACTCAGGAAACTATATAAAACTGTAGAAAATGCATTAAAAAATCATCTACCTAAACCAACAGGATTTAAATCAGAGACTTCTGAGAATTGTTTCTATTCTTATCAAGCACAATATAAAGCTCTTGTTGGAATTTGGTTCACTCTTGAGAATTAAGAACTTTGATTTATAAAATTTTGTGGGTTTCAATTTTTTGACCATAAATCATAAAGACCATGGGGTTTAAATAGAATTGGCTGATGGAATGGAAATGGAAACATACTTCCTGATCATTCATTTAGTGGTATAATCAAGGTAATTTTTTTGGAGACCAAGAATTTCTAGTAATCCTCAAAGCTGTCAGTGCGAGTGTTGATCAGAGTGGGACTGGGAAAGGACCAATACCTCTGGGTCTTTCAAGTAGAAGGAACACAGGGAACTGGTTTCATGGGTGATGGAATGAAGGCTAAGAAGCCAAAAGGGAGGAAGGGGCAAAGGAGAGGTCAGCAAGAGCAGGAAGTGCTACCACTCCTCAGACGGAAGGGATGCAGGAGGAAGTGGTGTTACTAGCGTCCCAAAGCCAGAAGACAAAGAAGACACAGCCGCTGCCAGGGACACAAGCAGCAGGAGTCGGGTGAAGGGTGACATACCCCGTGCTGCTGCTGTCTCCTCCTGCCCTTGCGTCTTCCACCACTGCCTCCGTGGGAACCAGCGAGCAAGGGTCATGGGAAATGCGGGTCCCAGAGGAGCAGGGCAGGGGACGGGAAATAGATCTGAGAGCTAACAGGCAATTGACCAACATGGTTGACCAATCGATGGTTATGAGGAAAAGCATCAGTCTGGCTTGAAGTAAAGGAGAAAATATTTCCTAGATGGAACTCTCAAATCTCTTTGCCTTCTTAAACTTTTAGTGGCAACATTGTGACAAAAACACAGCCAAAAATTTCCTACCATGGAAATCTCAAATTTTTTCAAAGGTCTTTTTTAAAAACAATAAGAAACTCATACCCTTTAAGTAAGAATTCCCTTAAATATTTATTAAATGTCTGCAATATGCCAAATACTTTGCTAAACACCAGGAACAGACTCGTGAATAAGATCACATTCTCAAGGAGTCCACAGTCTATGGGGAACATGAACACAGACAGTTAAACACAGAGTCCTGTGAGTGCAGCTGGGGGAAGCCCTACAGAAGCTCACAGGAAGGCATTTCAGCTGAGGCGACTGTGCTGGCTTGGGTCCTTCAGAAAGCAGACACCAAAATGAGATGAAACGTGTGGTAGGCAGAATAATGACCCCCAAACCTCCACGTCCTAATCCTACGAACCTGTGACTATGTAACCTTACACGGCAAAAGGGACTTGGCAGCTGTGATTAAGGATCTTGAGATGGGGAGACTATCCTGGATTGCCTGGGTGGGCTCAGTATAATCACAAGAGTCCTTATCCGAGAGAGGCAGAAGGTCGGTCAGAGGAGATGCAGTAATGCTGGCCCATGAAGCCAAGGCAGGCAGCTCGTCTCCAGAAGCTGGAAAAAGCAGCAGATTCTCCCCTACGGCCTCCAGAGGGCACACAGCCCTGCCAACCCATTTTAAACTCCTCACCTCCACAACTCTAAGAAAATAAATTTGTGTTGTTTTAAGCCACTAAATTTGTGGTAATTTGTTTCAAGAGAAATAAAAAACTAATACAGCAAGCAAGGAGCCTATAAAACAAAATTTAAGGCACTCACTCTCAGGGTGAGGCTATCAATTATAACATATACTATGATGGTTAATTTTATGTGTCAATTTAACTGGGCCACAGGGTGCCCAGTTATTTGGTCAAACATTATTCTAGGTGTTTTGTGAGGGCGTTTTGGATAAATTAGCGTCTCAGTGTTTACACTGAATAAAGCAGACCCTCCTCCTCCATGTGGGTGGGCCTCATCAACAGAAAAAACAAAAGGCTGATCCTCCCCCTGGCAAGAGAGAATTCCTCCCACCCAACTGCCTTCAGACTGGGACGTCAGCTTTTTCCGCCTTTGGACTCGAACTGAAACATCCTCTCTTCCTGGGTCTGCAGCCTGCCAGCCTTTGGGCAGGAACTACACGATTGATTTTCCTGGGGCTCCAGCTTGCCCACTCACCTGGCAGATCTTGGGACTTGTTAGCCTCTATAATGGTGAGCTAATTCCTTATCATACATCTCCCATTGGTCCCATTTCTCTGGAGAACCCTAAAACACTCACGGTGGATCCGCCGGGCACCGTTTCATGGCCTCCACAGTCCACCTTCTGCACTACACGTAGCACTACAGGTGATCTCAGGGCCTTACCTGGTACTCTTCTCTCCTTCCTCCACCTTGGCAGGTCTTTGTGGCTTACTTGATAGAGTAACCTAAACATTCTTGAGGGGGGCTGGCCAATAAACATGAAAAGATTTGTGTTTCAAATTGTCTATTAATTTGTGTATTATTTGTCACACTGATATTAATTTTAGTCTTAGACTAAAAAATTAATATCAGTCCGGTGGTGCAGCAGTTAAGTTCACACGTTCTGCTTCTCGGCGGCCTGGGGTTCACCGGCTCAGATCCCGGGTGCAGACATGGGACCACCTGGCAAAAAGCCATGCTGTGGTAGGTGTCCCACATATAAAGTAGAGGAAGATGGGCATGGATGTTAGCTCAGGGCCAGTCTTCCTCAGCAAAAAGAGGAGGATTGGCAGTAGTTAGCTCAGAACTAATCTTCCTCAAAAAAATAAAAAATAAAAAAATAAAAATAATTTGTAATGTAATGTTAAATAAGAGTGTACAGATTAAGGAAATCTACTAACTGAGGTGGGTCCCAATTTACCGCAGTTCAAACTTCATACACCTTTTGAGACACAGCATTTCTTTTCTGCTAATAAGGTAAAACCATTAATTAAGATCTCTATGTCCTTATATGTTGGATCCCCTCTACAGGAGAAGAATCATCACATAAAGGGCCAGAACACCTTCTGCCTTCTGAATCAATACCAGCCTGGACCCAATTCACTACGTTACGTGAGTCAATCTATTTGTTTGAGAAAGGTCTTTCCTTGGCAAAACGAAATAGAATCTGTTTTTTAGCTTTGTCAAACCACACTAAGAAAAGAAATAAAAGCAGAAATTCTATTTAATAAATCTTTATTGAGCTCCCACCGGGTGCATGAATTTAGGATCTATAATTTAAGTAGAAAAGTGGTACTTTAGCCCCTTAAAAATAAAAAATGCAAATTACAACTCCTCTTTATATTTCAAGTGAATCATTTAATGTGAGGCTCAGTTTGATATTACCATAAGTATTAACAGAAGAACATGGGTAAGTATAAACATTTTCCCTTCTACAAAAAAAGGGTTTGATACCAGGATAAACTAGCCTGTTGGTCTAACAATAGATGATCAAAAAGGCTAGAGAATCTGGAAGTAAAAAATGTACCTGGAAGCAGTGTCCTCTGAGGGCTCATTCCCCTGAGGGCAGCAAAATGCTGAAAAATTGAACTGGCTCAATACTGAGAGATCAAGGAGATCAAGGAGGAGTTAGTCACAGCTTGGGAAAAAACTTGAGAACAGATGACACGAAATGTAGCTAGACTGATGATTCTGGAGTTTCCCTGGAGTTGTAACAACACTCTGAGCTGACCAAAGGGCTATAACCTCCTGCTCTCTGAACAGAGTGGTTTGAAACGATCGATTCTCCAGTGCACCAACTGTATTTTCAAGTATAATTCTAGTATTTGTACCTAGCAATCCAGAAGGAAGCGCAGCAGGGAGAGAGTGTCAAGTATACAGGACGGAAAAGGATTTGGCAGCCCTAGAATTCCCAGCTGGATTCCTCGTCATCAGGAAAGTCGCACTCCGGCTCAGCCCAAGGGGAGGCTGGGGGCAGTACTGCTGACGGCTGGTGACCCACAGGAGGCAACAGGGAAAGGACCGAATCCCGGCTTTCTTCTTTCATCTGTCAAAGAAACTCAAAATAAGGCTGTTGGTACATAAATCAATACATTAGTTTTGTTAGCAATAAATAACTTTTAAAGAAATCATGTTAAAAGCGTTTAAAATTGTTTTTAGGTATTTTTACTAAAAATGCCTTTGACTCTGGTCATCTAAAAACAGGAAGAAGTAACAGCAAATAAACTAATTTTTATCAGAATTATTTTGCCCTTTCATCAATTCTAGCCAAAAAAGAAAAATAAAATGTCTCTAAATTAATCAAAATATAAGCTAAGGACATAATAACATCTGATATTCCGTTTGCTTTTACTCATTTTGTTTTGCAGAATGAAAATATTTTAGAAAGTCTATAATTCAACTACCAAAAAAAGTTTCCATGTTTTTAACTTTACTTGTAAGAAAATTATTATTAAGAATGTTGGTAAGCAAACTGTCCCATTAAGCCAACGAAATGAAATGACTTTTTAATAGTATTTTAAAACATCTAGATAGCAGAAGATAGATAAGCTCACCTGTTTGAAGAAAACATGGGACAATAAACTGCTTGCTGATGGCCTGAAATTTTTTTAAAAAGTGATTAAGAAAAATAGAACCTCATATTAGAATGTAGATTTTTAGGTA